CGGTAATACCATCAAGAGCGTCAAGAGCAAAGCTCTGATGTGAGGTCAACTCAGTTCGATGTTCTCCACGAACAATTACATCGAACCTTGCTTCCGCGCCCCATTTGAAATTGTAGCCAATCCTGAACATTTGCAACTTTCTTAATCATGGAATGCCCAAGACTTTGATTAGTACTAATAATTGGTCTTTCGCTGTGTGACCAAATGCTTTATCGGCTCTTTAGCAGGTACCACACCAAGACCACCGGGCTGCTTTCCTTGCGCTGCTTCCGCGACTGGTTGAAGTTCTTGCTTGCTCATACCGTTATCACCCGAAGAAAAGAAAATAGAGGTCAATTGCATCGAACGAAGTTCAGTCACCGCTCCGTGGGGGAGAGGAACGACACACGACTGCTCTTATTTCCTGTTTGCTGTAACTGTAAACAGCCGATTTGGCTTATTCAACTGCTCTCTAATCAGTTTGGACACTAGAAAGTAAGAACGTTAGTATGGACCCTTTTCAAAGGTCACACTAGAGTGGCTCCCGTCTTCCTTCTTCCTTCACTCGAGGTCTGTGCTAGTTAGCTCTGCAGCAACCAAACGGGGGAACCCCCCATTTCAGAGTAGGGATTCCACTATATAGGCAGGAATTACTTCTTCATACCAAGCCTTTTCGTCTTTTTTAGACGTTAACGCCGAAGAGAATAGAATGACCGAACCATACCCTCACCCACCAGTCGGACATCCACGGGAAAGACAAAAAGAGAAAGGGGCGTCCCTTTACTCTATTCTCAATTACCTCTCTCTGAACCTCGGATTTACGCGTCGAGCATCTTCAAACCTGGCAACGTCGAGCATATTTCAACCTTTTCTTTTCGCCACTCCTTGGGCTGTCTGGAGGCTCCCCGATCTACACTTTCCCGTGACAAGAAAGACGAAGCCGTCAGTCTATCTTTCCTCGGTTCAGAGATAGTCTGGACATTAGCTACAAGTTTACAGATCAAAGACAGATCGATCAATTAAGATAGACGCTTGGAAGTCGCGTTACGGCAGAAGACTGTGTCGAGCGTGTCAAAACTACTCGTCCTTTCCCAGTTCTCTCACCAGCACCGCTTAGTGATAAAAGAGCTGCTAGTTTTGTCAATTACCTCTCTCCGAATGTCTGTTTGACTTCACTTCGCTTCGAAAAGTTTTTTAGGGGTGTGGCCTGTAGCTCAGAGGATTAGAGCACGTGGCTACGAACCACGGTGTGGGGGGTTCGAATCCCTCCTCGCCCACAACCGGCCCAAAAGGTCTTGACAGAGCTCGGTTGCTAAACAAGAGGAGGGGGGAGTTCCTTTGTCGTTGGGGCAGTTCATACCATCCATACATAGTGTTTTGATCTAATCTTTCAATTCTTCCTTCTCAAGATAAAGATAGGTGGCGGTCGGTGCGCAGGGCCGCTCGCTCGAGCCAATCAGTGAGTCGTTATGCCCTGCCTTCTTAGCCCGTGTGGAGGAAAGGGCTCTGAATTCAATTCCTTCTCGAAGATTTGCTCGGAGCTGCTCACACTTGCCTGGTATCTTCTCTTTGCGCGGCCATAAGCATAGTGGTGCCCGAGTGGGTTCAGGAGGTTATAAATAGCTACGAAATGGCCTTGAAAGTTCAATAAAGAGGAGCTTGAGAAAGTGAAGGACAAGCCGGCTGCAATTAGGCTTCTTTTCAGTCACTCCGGAATGCAGTTACATAGCGCAAAGTCTGAAAGAGGGGAAGATGAGAACGAAAGGACGGAAGAAGCGAAGAAGAAGGAATTCTATACTGCTAGGCGATGGAGTGTGCTTCCTACCCGATCGAGCACACTTGATTGCACCAGTTCGAAAGAAAGTCCCGATGGACGAAAAGCAAGATGCCACACTAAGAAAGATAAAACAATTAGCTCATCTATCTCTGCTTAATAAAGACTATGCCTCTTCGAAAAAGGCCAATAGGTATAGGAAAGGTCGTCACGGTCTCTCCGCCTACTTCTCGGTCTACCTATCATACAGGATGATCTTGTTTGTTTTTTGGAATGAGTGAACCAGACATACAGATGAAGAAGAATTTGATCTAATAAAGGGAGCTAGAATAGCATTCCCAAGCACTACCCTCAGTTGCTGCCCCAGGAAGGAAAAGCTACTGGCCGCTTCGCTCCTTAAATAGCAGACAAGACGCGCTATAGCGCAGAGAGAGGGTTTGGGTCTGCTCTTCCTAAATGCCTGTGTACCATCATGCTGAGCAGCATGGTTGTGGATGGTTGACCCTAACGCTTTTCCTGAAGCTAAGAAAGAGTACCAGGAATCCAACAGCTATTAGCTTGAGACGTGAAATCGAACAGCAGCTAAAGAGAGCTCCGCGTTGATCAAATCAGTTCTTCCTTCCTTCATAATGAATAGATCTCCTGCCCGTCCCATTCTCTCTTCTGGGACTCCCGCTCGAAGATACCGCGCTTGAAGTAGGGAAGAAAGAAGAGAATTGAACTATGGGGCAAGCCTAAACCTAGTGTGACTGTCCTGTAGCGAAACCAGTCTTGTGCTTAGCAAGGCTAGGCAACTTCTCGCTACTGTTCTTGTTCCCCTCTTGTTCTTGCTGCTTGGTTCTAGCAGGTCCTCGTCCTTTGGTGCTGTCTTTCCTGTTCTGTTCATTCCTTTCTGGCTCGTTCGGACTTGTTCGCTTGTTCCTCGCTCTCGCCTGGCGGGTAAGGGGGGAGGGTCGATGTAATTGAGGTGAGCGCTCGTTCCAGGTCTTTCCGGAGTTTGGCCGAAGCTTCTGCTTGACTTCAAGCCCGATTTCTGGTGGCGCATCCCCCACACAAGCACCGCCCGACGAAGGGGAGACGGGGAAAGCTACAGCTTCGACCCTTCTTTCTAAATGGGGAGACCAGACTCAAAGGCGCGGATATTTCGGCTTCCCTATGAACATGATTGATCCTAACAGTCCATTCCCTCTGTACCAAGTGCCGAATGGCCTTGACAAGAGAATCATGAACCCCATGGCTGAGCGCAGGCCCAAGGACCATTTTCGTTACGCACTGACTGTCAGTTTCGGCTATAACTTGACGGAAGCCCAGATATCCCATGCTAGCTGTAGCCCCTGAAAGAGGCCCCCGTAATGGTGCAAAGTCCGATGTTCATGAGGAACCCTTGAATCCATCGACCAAGTTCATTCCGGAGTAGTCCTCCCGCACTGCTCATGCCCGTGGTGCTCTCAAAGGCACCGTCCGTATTCACCTTGACCCAACCCGACACCGGCGGGGTCCAATGTATCAAGCGGGTAACGTGGGTGTCCGCTCCAGCCTGTATGCATGCGGCTGCAACTCGAGCATGATCTCCAGCCAACCGCACCACCTCCAACGGCTGAGCCGCGCAACTACGTGTTCGTTGTTGGAACACTCGCTCGTTCCTCCACTTCCACGTACGCCAAGCAGTGAAGGTTCGATGAAATTGACCAGTTCTCAATTGTCGCCAGCCTCGTCTTCCCCAGGTTCGTGCGCAGCCAACTCTTGAGCGGCTGCTGGAAAAATTCCCGGTCGTGAGCAGGTGGAAGTAGGCGGATCCATAAGTTCCGAGCGGAGGGGCAGTCACGTAAAACGTGAAGGATCGACTCTGTCTCGCCACAAGTATCACACGCGGCGGAAGGTGAAAGGTGCCTCCGAGCTCGTTCCTCATTTGTAAGCAAACGACCCCTGGCGGCTAACCACAAGAAATTCCGTGTCCTCTGAGGAACCGACATGCGCCATATAACCTGCCAGAGGTGTTTGTCGGGGTCACACTCAGAACTGAGGAGTGCCCGATAGGCCGTCCGTGTAGAGAATTGTCCATCGTGAGAAAATCTCCAAAGGAGACGGTCCTCCCCAGCCGTGGCAATCGGGGGAAGCGTGCCCGCGATCCGAAGAATGATTGGAGAGGGAAGCAGGCCATGGAGCGAGTCCCATTTCCACCTGCCATACTCGTCCACAAACTTGGCGATTGGCAGGTTAATATCCTCGTCCGGTGGACGTCGAAGGGCAACCCTTATTAGTGGTTGTTCCGCCCCAAGCCAGGGATCAAGCCAGAACCTGGCCCTTTCGCCATTTCCAATCGCCCACCGAGCACCTCTCGTAACATCGGGCCAGATTTTGTTGAGAGCTCGCAACAAAGGTGAGCCCTGACCACGCCGAAAATGACCCAAGCTAGGTGAAGAGGTAAAGTCATACTTGGCCTTTAAGATACGAACCCACAACGAATCCGGTTTCGTCAAAACTCCCCACCCAACAAACGAAGCGAAGCGAAGTTCAGTCATAGAGTCTTCATTCATATTCATAGCTGAGTCTACTAAAAGAGAAAGCAGCCTCATCCTTTCATATTCCTATTAGAG